GTGCAGATGAGATTCCTGGAAGGTGGGGACTGTGTGCTGAGTGCCTCCCTTTAATACCCAGCATGGACTGGGTTCCCTCACTGGCCACCTGTCATTTTAGGAAGCAGAGGATATGGGTAAGTTTTGCTTAATTAACTTTGGGGGAAGGGATACAGGGAAAGTTAGGGCAATTGGGAGCTAGTTTTTTGTTTGTTTGGTTTTGGTTTTTTATTATTTATTTATCTTTTTGAGACAGAGTCACTCTGTTGCCCAGGCTGGAGTGCAGTGGCATGATGTTGGCTCACTGCAACCTCCACACCCTGGGTTCAAGCGATTCTCCTGCTTCAGCCTCCCAAGTATCTGGGATTACAGGCACCTGCTGCCACACCCAGTTAATTTTTGTAGTTTTAGTAGAGACGGGTTTTCACCATGTTGGTCAGACTGGTCTCAAACTCCTGGCCTCAAGTGATCCACCTGCCTCTGCCTCCCAAAATACTAGGATTATAGACGTGAGCCACTGTGCCCAGTCTGTTTTTGTTTTTTTAGAGACAGGGTATTGCCCTGTTGCATAGGCTAGAGTGTAGTGGCATGATCATAGCTCACTGCAACCTTGACCTCTGGGGCTCAAGGGATCCTCCTGCCTCAGCCTCCCTAGTAGCCAGGACGACAGGTGTGCACCACCACACCCAGCTAAATTTTTAAAAGTTTTGTAGAGACAGGGTCTCACTATGTTGCCCAGGCTAGTCTTGAACTTCTGGGCTTAAGCAATCCTCCTGCCTCGGCCTCCCAAAATGCTGACATTACAAGTGTGAGACGCCCACCCAGCCGTAGCCAGGATCTTGGGGTTTGTGTGTTTTTCCTGTACTGGCCCGTCCAGCCCATCCCTGACCTCACTCCATGCACGCCCCCAAGCCCCTCGCCCGCCTGCTGGGAGAGCTGGGGTCACTGTCGAACAGTCAGCCCCAGGAGCCCAGCTTCCTATGTATTTGCTGAAAGGCCTGATACAACCATAGCTCAATTTTATTGATCTTGTCAAAAGCAGTAATTCAAGAAAGCTATTTAAATTCACAAGAGGAAGCCAGAGCAATTATCCACGTCTGCATCAGATTCTTCATCATTTTTGTTATTGGCTGTGGAGCCTGGAGACATTTTGTGTGTGGCTGACGCGGCAGCGAGGGGGCCGCTGAGGGTTGAGGTTTTGTTTGCAGCCCAGGAAAACAAATATCATAATCGACAGTTCGCCAATAGAAGTCTATATGCATAAAGGTTTACAGGGTCTTACCAGGGGGACACGTGGGCACCCAGTGGTTTAGATTCACTTTGTCCCTAATCCCAGCCAAATCCCGTCAGCTTGTTCCCACAGCCCCTGTTTTAGTACATAATAACATTTTGATTTGTGATGGAGCGGGTGACTTTTTTTTACAGTCTTTTCCCCACAGTTAAACTTTAATGACAGATTAAATCACAGTGGAATTCGAGTGACAAGCAGATGAGATCTGTGGCAGGCACCGTGAGTCTGGCTGGGTGGGCTATGGCAGGGGTTGGGGAAGATGATCCCACCTACCCACCACCACAGTGCCTTGGACCTCAGCAGATGGCAGCTCTCTGAACTGGGGTCATGATTAATTCATCTCTTAATCCCTGGCACCCAGTAAGTGCGTGGTACGTAGCAGGTGCTCCAGTGAATAACTGAATGAATGAACGAATGAGCTGGCTGAGTTGCCTGCTTTAAATTGTTGTTTGCCGAACAGTTGCTCAGGGATATCCTGGTGTCATGATATTTTCTGTCTGTGCTGGACATCTTCAGTGTGTCTCCCCAGGCCCAATAATCACTCTGTTCATCTAGGATGGCCTGTTGGCTTCCAGCCCTCGGGTGTCCAGCTAGAGGCTGGTGGCAGGAAGAGAAAGAGGTCTGGAAGTGTTTACAGCCCCAGTTCCTCTCTGCAACGTCCAAGGTTGGCTGCACCCCTCTTACAAAGGATAGGGCTCCTACGGGGTGGTGTTCTCTTACAGCCACCCTCTTCATGTTCTGGTAATTTACCTTCAGGTGTGGTGACAGCTCCTCACTATTGCTACCTGGAGGGGAGGAGCTTCTCTACCCCCTGCTCACACCTTTGCAGATAGTTAGTTGATTAGTTAGTGCTTCTCCATGGCCTGTGCCAGTGTACCCTCCTCTGTTTTCTATTGGGATCCTAACTGATAATGCATCTAAACTACTGTATTCTTCTCCTTCTAAATTCAACTCACATGGTTTTACTCAAGTACCAACTTGAGCCATGCCGAGAGCCAACAGTTCTCAAAGTGTGGTGCCACACCAGCAGCCTCAGCCTCACCTGGGAGCTTGTCGGAGATGTAAACTCAGGCCCAGCCTGGACTCACTGAGTCGGGCATTCCGGGCTTGGGGGGCAGCTACCTGTGTTCTCTAGGAGATTTGGACACATTCTCAAGTGTGAGAACCACTGGTCTAAGTAAGAATTCCAGCAAAATCATAGGTTTGGGTTATGTGTGGTCCATGCTACTGGATGCCTTCTCAACATCCACTCTGCCCCCACCTTCCTTACTAATGAAACCCTAATTTTGTTCAAGACAGTAGTGCACCTGGTTTGAATCCCACCTTTTCTAGCTTCCTCTACAAGTAAGGGTTGCTGTGTGACACAGCTCTTGCCAATAAGATGTAAATGGATGTCCTTGGGTGGGGCTTCCGTAAAAGCTCTTTAAAAGGTGAAGGGTGGGTGGGCAGCAGTGCAGGAAGCTAGTGCAGGTCTTTTGCCCTTTTCTCTTTTTTCTCTTCCTGCCTGGAATCTAGATGCAATGCTGGAGGTACAGCAGCCACTTTGTGACCATAGGTGACTATGAGGATTAAAGGGGTAGAAAAGGGCCTGGGTATTCATGGCATGGTGGGGCTGCCTTCCTAGCCTTGAACAGGCCACCTCCAGATGTCTTGTTAAGAGGGAAACAGAAACCTCTTATTTGAGTAAGCCACTGTTATTTGGGTTTTCTGATATATGCGGCCAAATGCAATTTCTCGTTAAAATAAATACGTAACTATGACAAGAAGTGGTCATCGGTGTGTCCCACTGCCAACAGCCTCACAGGCCATGAAACCCTTGAAGCCTCATCATTGAAGGTAAGATTCCACTTGAGACTGGCACACAGAAGCTTGCCTGGCAGAGCTGGCTCTGAGCAGATGCAGGATTTATAACTTTGTTTATACTTGCATCCTCGCAAAAGGGAATCTGAAGACAACTTCGAGTCAAGTTAAACTAACATTAAAGCGGGAGAAAGATTAAGGAGACCCAGGAGGTCTCAAATGACATTTTAAAAATCGTCATTATCATTGTCATCAATCTCAAAATCTCCAGAATACTATTTACAGGGAATGTGCCAGGTCCTGGAGACCCTAAAGGTACCAGCAGCCTGATCTGAGCTTCCAAGGAGCTCACCATGCAGGCAAGAGGCTAGGCCAAGAGTTCACTGCAGCTGGGCAATCAGGGAAGACTGCTCAGAGAAGGTGGCATTTGTGCCGGTAGCCAGGGGAAAAGAGAATGCCCATTGATGGAATATCTGCCTGTCTCAGGCACTGCGTCAGAGGCTCCTGCCAGCTTCAAAGCTGCTCTATGAGGAAGGGATTACCATGGGGAAACTGAGGCTCAGAGAGGGAAAGTGACTTACTCAGTGCCACACAGCCGATTGGGGGAGACCTTGGGCCCACTCTGAATCTTGAGTACTCCAATCTGAGTCTTTCGGCATCATAGACACGGTTTCCCCAAGGCACTGAGAGATGCCAGGGAGGGGACCGCAGCTCCAGAGAAACCACAGCCTCTCGGTGTTGCTCGGGGTGCACTAGTACCCGCCCAGATGCTTTTAATTATCCACATTTTCCAGAAGAGAAAGTTGGCTCAGAGAGGTGAAGCCACCTTCTCAGGGTGGAGGAGCAGAGCCAGGGCTCACATCCAGGGCTGTGGGGCTCTAGGGGTCTGGCCAGAGTGCACTGGGAATTCCAGGAAGGCTTCACGGAGGAGGACCAAATGTGGCTGAGAAGGTGGCAGAGGAAGAGGCTTAGGCAGAAGCACAGCAGTGGGATCATGGCAGTTCTGTGTGGTCGGGTTGGCAAAGAATTAGATGTCCATTGCGTGTTTCCTATGTCACCGTCCTGAGCGCTTTATAGCTATCTACCCCTTTCCTCTTCACAGCCCTGTGAGCTTGGTGCTGTTTTTGAACCCATCTTACAGAAAGGGAAGCTGAGGCAGGTTACTATTCAGCCTCTCTGTTCTCTGCTTTCTAGGCATCTCTCTTCTTGCCCATTCTGCAGATAGCCCAGTGCCCTGGGCAGGATTTCTGTTCCAGGTGAGCATGGACAGCTGGGGCAGTGCAGCTTCATCCTTTGAGGTGTTGAGCTCTGGCTCAGAACCTCCCAGCCTCACTGGTGGACTCTGTCCTACAACTGTGCTTTCCTCCCTTCTCCTCACCTCATGGCCCCAGACAGGGAACTCAGCCCTGCAGCAGATGTCTGAGGCCCTCCTTGTCCAGGTTCTTTCCTTCTGGGAGGAAAGTCCCCCTTGCATGTCCCTTTGGGGAAGAATCCTTTCCTTCTCTTCACCCATGTAGTTTGGGTGGGGCAGACTCTGCTCCATCACCATGGCAATTGGTTCAGGGATAGTCATGTGACCAGGCCAGGCCAATGAGAACCTTCCCTGAGACTTTTGCTGGAACCACTTGGGAAAGAAGGTCTCTTTTGGCAGATTTGCTGTGCTGGTGGGATGTGCCCAGACCTGCCTGAGAGACAATCCAGCCTAGAGGAAAGCAGCACCAAGATACAGAAGGACTGATGGTGGTGTTCATTGAGCCCCTGAATCAAGCCATGCTTGAAGTCCCCCCAGACTTTTTAGTTATACAAAATGACAAATTTCTTCCTTTTTTTTTTTTTTTTTTTTAGATGTGGTCTTGCTCTGTCGTCCAGGCTGCAATGAAGTGGTGTGATCTCGGCTCACTGCAGCCTCTGCCTACTCCCGGGTTCAAGCGATCCTCATGCCTCAGCCTCCCAAGTAGCTGGAATTACAGGTGCGTGCCACCAGCCTGGCTAATTTTTGTATTTTTAGTAGAGATGGGGTTTCACCACAATGGCCAGGCTGGTATTGAACTCCTGACCTCAGGGGATCCACCTGCCTGGCCTCCCAAAGTGCTGGGATTACACGCATGAACCACCATGCCCGGCCCAAAATGATAAAATTCTAAAAGTTGGGTTTTCATCTCTGGCTACCCACCGCTCTGTCATTCCTCTTCCCCCTCCCCTAGCCTGGATCATTTCTGGGTGCATCAGACTTTGTTAAAATTTGGGGAGAATGGAGTGGTTTCACAGCACCACACTGCTCTGCCTTTTTTTTTTTTTTTTTTAGATTCTCCAACTTTCCTGTTTTCCAGTTCCTTCCTCTCAGCCTCTCCAGGAAACTCTACTTCCCAAACTTTCCTATCCAGGCCCCTCCCAAGCTTGGGCTCCCCTCACATTTCCAAAGCCTTATTATGGTGTCCTGCTGAGGAGATCGCCCCTGTTCCTTCCGCATGCCCTGGCCTCACAGAGGAACTGGCTTTGGGCCTTGTCCACTTTTCCCTTCCCCTTTGTGAGCAGGCTCAGGGAGCCAGAAGGTCTGAGTTCCAATGGCAGCCCCTCCCTTCACTGGCTGTGTGACCTCAAGCACATTACTCACCCTCTCTGTGCTTCTGTAACCTGGTCTGTAAAATGGGAATGCGGCTAATGCCTTTTTCTTAGGGTTGCCCTGAGGCTTACTTGAGTGCATTTGTGGAAAACACTCAGCACCATACCTGTCTTGTTATATTTGTTGTTACTAGAGGGGGATGATGTAGGAATTCATGTTCCCATTGGAATGAGTTATGTCACTTCCCTTAGGAAGCAGACGCAGTTACCAATGCGTTTGAAAGTAACCATTCCCCTACCTCCAGCACATCAGGAGGACTTTCGAAAAAAAATCCTCTTCCTCAAATAGAAAGGAGAGCTCTGGGAGGAAACGGGGGGGTGGGGTCCTGTTGAGGGAACCCTTCGGCACATAGAGGGAGGAGGAGGGGCTCTGGATCGATGCCTGGGGTGGGAATACAGAGCTATTGCTGGCTTTGAGCTGGGAGAGGGGGTACTTCAAGAGTTTGGCCTCTGGAGGGTGTGCAATGGGGCCACATTCTTGCTGTTTCTTAATGACTCCTCCAAGCCCCACGCCAGCACTGGGCAGTCGAGAGGCAGTTTCCCCTGCATGAGCTGAGCTGCTTAACAGCTGATGTGGAGATGAAAAAGAACCCAATCAAGCTAACAGCCCTTCCTGGCTGCCCTGCAATGACGGTGCTTTGTGCTGAGCCAGGGGAAATATTGGCCGTTTAAGCATCCACACTCTCTGGGGAGGAACTGCAGAGGAGGGCGGCTGCCCGGCAAACTCGAGAGAACTGAAGTCGCTGTGGGCTTCCGGGGAATGGGAGGTGCGGGGATTGTCACAGGCAGCCCCGGTGTCCCTCTATCCCTAAAGTAACCCCATGTTCACGGTCAGGGAGGTGATGCGCTCTTTAGGCTGAGTGGTCTCACTGCGCTATTGTACAGATGAGGAAACTGGGGCTCAGAACAGGGAGGTGACTTCCCTGAGGTCATATGACTGGGAAGTCCTCAACACGGGCCAGATCTGCCTGATTCCCAATCCCTTGTCATTTTTGTTCTGCAGGTGACCTCCCAGAGCTGGCAGGCACAGGATGGAGGAGGTGGGGGTAGGGCTGGAGAAGCCAGTCTGGAAATAAAGCAGAGAAGGTTGAATCTGGGGGCTTTGAAAGTGAGACTTAGGGAGGGGACCTGGATGCAGGCAGCTGGAGGAAGAGGGTGTGTGTGCTGCAGCAGGAAGGCTGATGGCAGGGGGTGTCAGGGAGGGACAGAAAGAGACAGAGGAGATAGAGAGATGGGGTAGAGAGGAAGAGGCGGGAGAAAGACAGATACACACACACACACACACACACACACACACACACACTGTCAGAGTTATTAACCTCTTCCTTGGTTCTTCAGGGTTGCCTGATGTCCTAGACCACTTCTACAGCTGCTGAATATCCACTCATTCATTTATTCATTCATGCATTCATTCAATATAGACATATCTTTAATTGAGCACCTACTACATACAGGCTCTATGCTAAACTCTGGGAAATCTAGCAGACGACAAGACAGGCAATGTCGGGACTGTCACGGAGTGTACATTTCAGTGAGGGGGTAGGGAGACCAACAGAGACGTAAATTATAAAAGGAGGGGAAAAAAGGCAAACAGTAGAGAGAGAACCTCAGGCCCGGAGGCAGTAAGGTGGGTGGGGACAGGGTGCAGACCCACTGGCAGGACAGGGAGGGGGCCACTTTTTATAAGATGATCTCGGAAGGCTTCTCAGAGGCGGTGATGTTTGAGCTGGAACTCGTGTGTCAGGAAAAAGCCAAGGTTCTGTGCCCCGCAGGCTGGGACTGGGCGAGCCGACCTCGGAAGCCTTTCAGATGGAGGGAGAAAGGCTGAACAGGAACCTTCGGATGACGGGAACCCGAGCTGACCTTTCCACTGCTGGAGACTTCGTGGGAGACCCTGTGCTAGAACTTCCCAGGAAGTGCCTCCCTGAGATTCCAGACCCACAGAAGCTGAGAAAATACATCATCGTTCCCAGAGGCTAAGTGTGGGGCATTTTGTTAGGCAGCAATAGCTAACTCACACAAGGGCCTTCTTGGAAGGAGAGCTGCTTTTTGAGGGTGAGAAAAAGCATTCCTAGATTTTTGCCAGCAGTTGGTCAAACTGTGTCACATGACCATGACTAGACCAATCTCTGGTTAGGGGTGTGATCATCTTGGACCAATCAGGACCCTGCCCTGGGGCTGGGCCATGGCTCCTGGGAATCACTGAGGGTGCTGGATGCTGGATCCCAGCCAGGAAGGAGCGGCCGAGATACTGCCTCCTGGACTCCATAATGTCCAAGCTGCCATTTATTGAACACTGACTGTATGCTTGGGTTTTCACCCACACCAAGCTCTGGCCCCACAGTTTTCTCACCAGCAGCCCCTTTCCCTCCTCCCAGCCTCCGTACCCGCCCATCCTGCCACACTGAATGCTGTTTCTGCCCCAGTTGCTAGTTAGAATCCCACGCTTCCTTCAAGGAAAACCTCACCTTGGAGTCTGTCTCCACTTCCTGTAAGAAGCCTTCCAAGATCCCCCACGGGGACTCATCAGACGAGGATAGGGAGTGATGTCATCCTGACTATCACGACTGCAATCATTTCACTGCCACGGAGCTGGGGTGCCCTAGGCGGGCAATTTTCTAGCTGTGTGACCTTGGGCAAGTTACTTAACCTTTCTGTGCCTCGCCTCCCCTGTCTGTAAAATGGAGATCATATTAGTACTTCCCTTGTTGGGTCATCATCCGAGTTAAATGTTATACACGCAAAGTGCTCGGGACCTCGTCCAGCCCACAGGAAGCATTAGATAAATGTTAGCTGCTGTCATTCCTCTCCCTGTTCTCTCAGTCCCCATCAGCGCTAAAGACTGACCCAGGTCCAATTGTCCTGCTTTGCCTGTGGCTCACTGTGGATTCACATATGCACCCAGAGCGTACCCAGGAGCACCACGGAGCCCTGGCAAACTGCACAAGACGACCTGTCACGCTCCAGGATCACCTGGCAAATTTTCTCATGAATAAAACTGGGAGCTAAAAATGTCTCACCCTTTTCTCCACCTACAAACCCGTCAGTCTCCCCTCTCTACAGAGGGCACAAGGTTGCACAGATTGTTCCTTAAAAGAATGGAAAAGGCATTCCGGAATCCAGGGCTAATACAATTACTCTAAAAGCATTTCTCCCCTGTTCGAAGTTAACTCGCTCCTAACGATGATAAACTCTGCCGTGCCTGGCCCTCCAGCGCGAGGTGGGGTGATGATTCTCCTAAGCAGCGTTTTTTCTGCCTCCCACCAGGGTCCTGGTGTTCTCCACGCTCTGTGGCAGCCAGCATGCCAGCAGCATAGGTTTGGGGATCGCAGAAGGCAAGCACTGGGAGGCATTTCAAAGCCGTCCCAGTGCTGTCCTGGAGAAGAAGCGGCTAGGCTGCTGTCTGCTGACCTCCTGGGTGCCTCTTCAGAGCTTTCCAAAACAAGGGCTAAAGGGAAAAGACAATACGCCCTTCACCAGGAACCCCAGGAAGATGCAGGAATGTTTTGGCTCATTTAAGCTGGATAAGACCCAGATCCTGGAGGCTGTTCTGCAGATTTTGACACTCGGAACAATATTCCGGTTTTCACCGGGTGAGTCACTCTTGGGAGACGGAGCTGTGTTGTTAGCAGTTTCATTTTGACTTTGTGACAACTCATGCCCTCCCTACTCCCTTTATGCCAGCCCCCCAAAAGCATCTACTGCCTGAAGTGGAGAGAGGCCTGGCTTCTCTTCGTCTGCTCTGGGGAGACCCTGAGTAGGACTTGCTTCGGAGACTGGAGCAAACTTGTGCAGAGGGTTGCTTTGTGAATTACCTGGCACCATTGTTCAGGGAATGAGCCACAGTGCTTTGAAGGTTTGATACTCTGGAGTCCTTGGATATGCAGACGCCCAAAGAAAGAAGTGCTTTACCTTCATGGCCTCAGAGCTGGGAACATTCTGGACCTCGGTGCTGGAGCCTGCTTTCACTTTCTCTACCACCACAATCTCAGACTTGGCCAGACAGGGCACTTCAGACCTTCTCCTGACCAACCAGCCCAGGTCTGACTGGTTTTCCCAAAAGTGCTCACTGCATCACATATAGACTGTAGTGCACATTAAAATGAATTATGTCCGGAGAATGCAAGATGATCAGGCATGAACCGTTTTGACTCCAACAATTATAATGGCTCTGTGCCCTCTATGTGTCAGAGGCTATGAAACAGGTGTTAAAAAGAATGAGGTGACTGGCCACGCCTGTCATCCCAGCACTGTGGAAGGCTAAGGCGGGTGGATCACTTGAGGTCAAAAGTTCGAGACCAGCCTGGCCAATACGGGGAACCCTGTCTCTACCAAAAATACGAAAATTAGCCAGGCATGGTGGCGTGTGCCTGTAATCCCAGCTACTCAGGAGGCTAAGGCAGGAGAATTGCTTGAACCCAGGAAACAGAGGTGGCAGTGAGCTGAGATCCTGTCATTGCACTCCAGCCTGGGTGACAGAGCACAACTCCATCTCAAAAGAAAAAAAAAAAAGAATGAGGTGACCTCTGTGTGTCCAGCATGAATTGACGTCTCAGACATGTTAAATAAAAAAAGCAAGTCACAGAACAATACACAGAAAATGGTCCAAAACAGAAATAGCAACACAAAAATTTAAAAATGAAATCAAGAACTCTTCTACAAAGAGGTGGGATATGGCATAGTAGTCCTGTGACCACTTTGATCAAAGCCACAGCGGCTTGACCTCCCTCCAACATGTGCTGGCTGCTGGCCCTGTCCCTCTCTGAGCCTCAGTTTCCCTGTCTGTGGAATGGGGATGATAAAAGTAAAAGCCTTAGAGGGTTGCTGTGGATCCCGCAAAGTTTGTGAAGTACAGGCGCCCAGCCTCGTTGACTGTGCTTATCATCTGTGCCATGGGGACAGCCTCAGGGGGCGAGGATCTCTTTCCAAAAGATGTTACGGAATTTCTCACAGCTAGTGCATGTGGATTACATGAGTACATTTTTAACAAGTAAAAAAAAAGAAAGTTAAGGATGCTATTTCTAAAGGGAAAATATGCAGGAAGTTTTTAAGACCCTGACCCCTCACACACCCCCTCAGGGGCCGGCTTGCAGTTTCGGAGTGAGCACACGTGGGTAGCTCAGCTCTGCGGCGGAGGCTGTGGTCAGAGGCAGCTGCCTGGCGGAGGCTAGAAGGGCCCCTGGACATTTATCAAGGCCGGGGTGGGGAGACATGCTGCCCCCCACCCGAGGCCCCACTCACGTTACCTGGTGGCTGAGACAGAAGTTCCTCAGTGAAGCACGCTCCTTCCTGCCCGGCATGATGAGCAGAGATTAAGCACTCTGTTGACACACAAAGAAACAGCCCCATCTGGAAAATTCCGCAGCAGGGCGAGGCTGGCCAGGCCTTTAATACAGGGGCCTGGAGGCTCCTGAGTGTTTACTAAGAGCTCAGCGGATTGGGGGTGAGAAGGGAACTCTCTCAGTTCAGTAGCATGTTTTCACTGCACACCTACTGTGTGCCCGGCACCATTCCACACACTCAGGACGTGGCAGGTAGATAAATAAATGAACGTGAGGACTGGAGGCAGTTGTGAGTGTTCTACACAGATGTTAAAATTGATTGGATAGAAAGTGAGGGGGTGAGGGGGTGGGGTTTACCTCTGAAGAGGTAACATCACCTGCACAGGAACCTAAATCAAGTAAGAGAACCAGCCATGGGCATGTCTGTGGGGAGGAGCCTTCCAGCAGAGGGCACGGCAGGTGCAAAGGCCCTGTAGTAGGCTTGACGTGGAACTGGAAACTAGAGGTTTAGGAGGAAAACAGCGGGAATGAGGTTGGTAAGGAGGGCAGGCTAGATCACGCTGGGCCTTGTCAGTCGCTATAAGGAATCTGGATTCCGGCATTTACTTCCTCGTATATTGAGCACGTGAGTTTTAAGCACCAGGTACGTGCAAAGCAAAGAGGTTTGCTCAGGGTGCACTTGCTGGGCATTTTCAATTTCACTGAGAAGGCGGTGCTTCTGGTCATGCAGTCAGTGCAGGGGCTGGGCCCACCTGTCACTCGGCCACAGCTGGGGAGCAGAAGCCCGGAGCAGGGTTTGGAGATGAGAAGTGGGCTGAGTCCCAGTGCTTGGCTCAGGGTACCGAATGTTAGAAGGCGAGCCCTCTCAGGGTGCCAGTGCAGAGGGGCACGCCTCACCCAGTGCCAGACCTGCTGAGGACACTCACGGTTCAACCCGGGAGTCCCCAGGAGCAGCTCAGGCCTGGTGGGAGATGAGGGGTAGAGATGACCTCCTGAGTCAGCCTTGGGCCAGCTGTGTTCACGAAGCTTCCAGTGTGCTGTTTCCCAGGAGGGCCGCTCTGGGAGCCTGAGAAGGCAGGGAAGCTGGAGCTGCCCCTCCGCCAGCCCTGTCCTCCCCAAAAGCACAAGCACGTGTGTCCCAGTTCACCCATGTGTGGTGTGCGGTGGGACTACTCACATGTCACAGGTGGGGTCATGTTTCCCCAAAACACATGTTCGGGTCCTAACCCCCGGCAGCTGTGGATATGACTTTATTTGGAAATAGGATCTTTGCAGATGTGATCAAGCTGAGATGAGGTCATTAGGGTGGACTCCAAGATGACTGAAGCCCGCATAGGAAACAGGGAGACACGCAGAGACTACATGGAGGCAGAGGCGAGGCTGGAGTGACCCATCTGTAAAGCCAGGAAGGCCAAGGGTCGCAAGAACCACCAGGAGCTGTAAGGGGCAGGGAAGAATCCTGCCCCAGAGTCTTTGGAGGCAGCGGGGCCCTACTGGCACCTGGAATGCAGCCTGCTGGCCTCCAGACCTGTGGTTTTAAGCCACCCGGTTCGTGGTACCTGGTTACAACAACCCGAGAAGCTAACGCGCTGCACTAACCGGGTAACGTTCCCTGGGGGTCTGGTTAGGATGCAGGTTCTGATTTCATAGGGCTGGGGTGGGAACCAAGACCCGGCGGCCATGTGGGGCAGATGCTGCTGGCCTGGGGGCCACGCTTTGAGTAGTAAAACTTTGAAGGATGACTGGTAGCGGCCAGGCCAGCCCCCGCCCCCACTTCTACAGGGCTCAGAGACTGTCATAGTGTTCATTCATCCCTCGGGGGGAAATGACTCAATCCAGGTCAGGGGTAGATCCCGGTTAGTCTAGCCAGGGGTCAGCAAACTTTTTCTCTGTAAAGGGTCAAGTCATTCTTCTAGGCTTTTTGGGCAGTCTCTGCGGTCACTCCTCAGCTCTGCTTCTGTCACACAAAAGCAACCACAGACAATATGGTTGGGAGGCTGAGGCAGGAGGATCGCTTGGGCCCGGAGTTCGAGACCAGCCTTGGCAACACAGCAAGATCCTCATCTCTACAAAAAATTTAAAAATTAGCTGGGCATGGTGGTTTGTGCCTGCAATCCCAGCCACTCAGGAGGCTGAGGCAGGAGAATCGCTTGAACATAGGAGGCAGAGGTTGCAGTGAGCCAAGATCGTGCCACTGCATGCCAGCCTGGGTGACAGAGCAAGACTCAGTCTCAAAAAAAAAAAAAAAAGGATGTGGCTGGGCACCAATAAATCTTTATTTACGAAAACAGGCTTGGGGCCCGTGAGCCACCATTTGCTGACCCTGGGCTAAGCCAGTCATGGCCACCCCATGCCCCTTCCTAGGTATTCATGTGGCCTAACCCTAGCCAGTGCAGTGTGGAGGGGACTGCGCTGGGGGAGTTAGAGGGAATGCTTACCTGCTGTTACCTATTTATTTTTTTCTAGATCGGGTCTCCTGAGTAGCTGGGACTACAGGTATGTGTCACCATTCTTGGCTAATTTTTATATTGCTTTTGGTAGAGACGGTTTTTGCCACGTTGCCCAGGTTGATCTTGAACTTCCAGGTTCAAGCACTCCATCCTTCTTGGCCTCCCAAAGTGCTGGGATTACAGGTCTCAGCCACCATGCCCAGCCTACCTGCTTTTCAAAAAGAGAGAACCAGGTCAGATGCGGGGGCTCACGCCTGTAATCCCAGCACTTTGGGAGGTTGAGGTGGGCAGATTGCCTGAGGTCAGAAGTTCGAGACCAGTCTGGGCAACATGGTGAAACCCCATCTCTACTAAAAATATAAAAATTAGCTGGGCATGGTGGTGAACGTCTGTAATCCTAGCTACTCAGGAGGCTGAGGCAGGAGAAGGCAGGGAGGCTGAGGAGGCAGAGGTTGCCATGAGCCGAGATCGAGTCACTGCCCTCCAGCTGGGTGACAGAGTAAGACTGTCTCAAAAACTAACAGACAAACAAACAAAAAACAAAAAGTGGGGAAGAGATGGCTGCCTTATCTTTGGCTGCACTCTGTCCTGTTGGGATGTGATGACCGGATCTGCTGCAGCCATCTTGGGGCCATGAAGGGAGTCCCAACACTGAGGGGTGGCAGGAGAGAGAGGAGGAAGCACCTGGTGCAGAGGCCACTAATGAGCTGCTGAGTCACCCAGCTATGCAGCTCCTTTGCTCCGGGACCTCCTCTCATGGGGGAGAATCCACATTCATCATGAAAGCTGTTGGAATTGGGATTTTTCTCTAACTTGCTACCCAAGGCATCCTGACTGCTACAACCTGCTCCGGGTGCTCCAGGCCCTCGAGCCACTCATGGCCTCCTGTGCAAGTCAGAACCCTCTCCTATGGGCCCTGCACGCGGCCACCACGCCCCGGCCACAGGGGCAGTGGAAAACTGACCTGGAGCCTAGAGATTTGGCTCCCTGCCCCAAGCCCTGTCGCTTTGGCCAAACACTGACCTTCCATGTGTAAAACAAGGGCAACTCCACTGGTCAGATGGGTGTGTTGCAGAGTTGAAGTTTGTAGGCAGTAAACCCTAAAATAACAACCTGGAACTCGGGCAGTGTGAGGCTTACTGTCAGGATTCCGCCCCCGCGTGCCCCGGGCCTCTCAATGACGCTTCTGTGTCCCTTCTCTCCAGTTCGCTCCTAACTGCCTGTACGTTCACCTCGCTCTGGGCACTGCTCCCAGGCTGCTGGCGGTGCTTTGGCCCCATGTCCAGGCAGCTGACCCGCCTGGCGGCTATCATTCCCTGGGGCAGCCCCTGGGTGACCACTGTGAGTCTGAGCCCTTGCCTTGGGGCAGGACAAACTGGGTGTTCCTCAGACCCAGATCTGGCTGAGGCTGGGATGTTGGCTTGAGTGACACCTGGGCTTGGCTTCCTTCCCTGCCCTGTCCCATCTCCCCTGTGCAGCCTGCCCTGAAGCATGTGTCTACAAACCTCATCCCAGGACCCGTTTCTGGGAGACAGTGAGGCCAAGACCCAGCAGCTGCTCGGTGTATGTTCCTGCTGTGAGTGTTGTACATGCATTAACAGATGGAATCCTCCTGAGGACCCTAGGAAGCAGGCACTCTTATCCCATTTTGCCCAAGGGGACGCCCAAGCCCAGAGAGGCTGAGTAACTTGTCCAGGGTCACACAGCTTGTCTTGCTCCTGAGGTCATGTCTTTGCCATTGCACTGTACTCTGCAATGGAGCTCTGGGGTCAGAAACCCCAGCTTGGAACCCCATCTTTGCTCTTGCCTAGTCCGGTGACCCTGGGCAAGCAATGCTGCCTCTGTGGGCCTCAGTCTTTTCACCTATTGTGAGTTAAGCCACCAATACTCATAAGGGGCTAAGTGCTCAATGCTCATCATTATTAAGAGAGGGGCGTCTTTGAGCTGGCTTTGCCCCGCCGGGTTGCAGATGGGCGGGCAGCCCTTGGGACCCCCAGATGACCCCAGGGGAGGGAGGAGGAGGAGGGAGAGGCGGCTGGCTGAGCCCCAGTCCACTTCGTCCCGGGAGAGGCAGGATGTGGCCCACGCAGAGTGAGGGCAGCCGGCACTGTCGCCATGGCAGCAGCCTCTAGCGGGCTTCCCAGCTGTCCAGGGAGCCTGGGGGGCCTCCACCGTCCTGGCCCAGGGCAGCAGAGGTGGCCGCAGGGCCTTGTGCCCATGGGCAGTCCCCTAATTTATAGCCGGGAGCATTTTCTGGTTCAAAGCACACAGCATTCAGTTATGCTCTCTGAGGGCGGCCGTGCAGGGAAGCCTCAAGGCCACCCCCGGGGGCCTGATTAGCATCAAGAGACTCCCACAGTCTGAACTGGGGGTCCTCGAGGTCAGCCCCCTCCCACCAGGGAGCCCCCTGCCCTCTTGTCTAAGCCATTTGTCTGTCCAGGAGGCAGGGGCGGGGTGACAGGCTTGAATCCAGCCCAGGCACTTTCTAGCTGGGTGGCCTTGAGCAAGTTACTTTATTTATCTGGGCCTCAGTGTCATCATCTGAACAGTAATAATAACAAAACAGCTTTGGGAGGCTGAGGCAGGAGGATTGCGTGAGGCCAGGAGTTTGAGACCAGCCTGAGCAACATAGCAAGACCCAGTCTCTACAAATTATAAAACTGTTAGCTGGGCATGGTGGTGTGTGCCTGTAGTCCCGGGTACTTGGGAGACTGAGATGGGAGGATCGCTTGAGCCCAGAAGGTCAAGACTGCAGTGCCGTGATCATGCCACCGCACTCCAGCCTGGGTGACAGAGTGAGATCCTGTCTCTTAAATAAGTACAATGGGCTCA